GTGATGGCCAGGTGTGTTCAGGTGTGAGTGTGTGTGTGATGGTCAGGTGTGAGTGTGTGTGTGATGGTCAGCTGTGAGTGTGATGGTGAGGTGTGTTGCTTGTCAGAACACGAGCTGGTCTCACACTGGTGTGTCTCTGGTCTCAGGCTCGTGTGGAGCGGATGGAGGTCTTCATGAAGAAGGGCGAGGAGCTGGAGAAGAGCCTGATGGAGAGCCGGAGGAAGCTGGCGGAGGCGCAGCGGCGGGTGCAGGAGCTCGTCTCGGCGTCCACTCCGGAGGCTAAAGCCGATCTGGCCAAAGTGCAGGAGGAGGAGAAGCAGCTGAAGAAGCAGGAGAGGTCGTGGGAGAAGAAGTTGCAGGAGCATCGCATCGAGGAGAAGAAGATGCCCTGGAACGTGGACACGCTCAGCAAGGAGGGCTTCAGTAAGGTGCGTCACTGCCGGCACACGCTAGCGCTCCAGAGACACGCGACTGACGCTCTGCTGTCTGTCTTTCAGAGCGTCGTCAACGTCAAGCCGGAGAAGGAGGAGGAGACGGAGGAGGAGAAGGAGGAGAAACACAAAACCTTCGTGGAGAAATACGAGAAGCAGATCAAACACTTCGGTGAGCTGCTCTTCAGTGCGTCACGCGTGTAAAGGCCGGGCCGACGGTCGGCTTCAGTTTGGCTCTAGTCAGACACCGTCAGCTGTTTTTCAGCCGACTCTGCATGTCGGCGAGAAAGAGAACTCTGATTGGCTGTTCAGCTTAGCGAATGAGCGCACAAGAAATACACTGACAGAAGCAACCAATGCGGGAGTAAAGAGGGAGCACAGACACTTGTTGTCATTCTGTCTGTTTCTTCCCTTCTTCAACTCCAGTGCAATTTGCATCTTAGCAGACATGATTGAAAAAAGCGTCACGAATCCATCAGTAATGAGCGCGGCTGGTGTAAACGATGGTAAAAACGGCTTGCTATGTGTATCCACAGCTCCAGCTCTTAGACCGCTGCCTCCTGCTGGAACGGGAGAGTCACGTTCTCTCACGCAAGCGCTAGTTGGCCATCGGCTGCAGTCTGTGCACGGTGTGCTTCTGCAGGTTTGTTTGCCCGGCGCAGGCCATGCGAGGCTTTCCTCAGCGCTTGTTCTTTGCCGTGGGTTTGGTGTGTCTCTTCTCTGAAAGTCTCATCTAGTGTCGCCATGATAGCAAACCACAGTACCAACCCCAGTCAAATACCATGATTCTCCTTACATACAGAAGCTACTCTACTTTATTTTAATGTGTTTTTTATGTAACTATTTGAAAATAAAAATAAAGTAAATGAATTATTAACAATGTGTTATTACCTATTATTAATGCTATTAATAATTAAAAGCAAATACTACAGTATAGTGTTAGCATGTAGCCTTCAAATACTCTTCAATTATGTAAACATTGCTGTACAAAGATCAAATGAACGTAACAAAATAAGAAACCCATTACAGGTAAAGTTGTGTGTCCTGTCAGTGCTGCACCTTATATGTGCGTCACTCCTGAAACCTTGCAGCGTGAGTTCTGCAGCATGAAAACTAAAACTGTCACTCAAATTGTGATTGGGTCACATACAGAAGTTGAGCAACAAACTCACAACCGTAAAATCGGTCTCTACTGCACAATCAAGCTCTTATTCACATCACGTTTACACTTTGCTGATTATAGTGAAAGTATTCGCGGGTGCAAAGCTCACGCTGAACGAACTCTAGCGTAACGAGCAGGTTCTGACATAAACACCTCTGATCACACGCCCTGCAAACACATTTGTGAAACACACCTTGATCACTCTGTACTCACACACTTACACACACACACACACACACACACACACACACTCGCTCTCATGGAGCAGGTGGCCCATCAGACCATCGTCATGCAGTTTATCCTGGAGCTCTCCAAGAGTCTGAAGGTGGATCCTCGCGGCTGCTTCCGCCAGTTCTTCACCAAAATCAAGGTGTGTGTGTTTCTCATGGTCTGTGTGCATCACAGCCACAGTGTGTATCGATGGAGATTCTGTCATTTCTTATGTATGTAAATATGCGCATGTGTTTGAGGTGTTAGAGAGAAACACGCGTGAATGAGAAAATCCACAATAACATTAGAGATGCGTCGGTCACATACACGCATCACATCAAAGTGTTGAGTCCCTGTGTGTTCAGACCGCAGACCAGCAGTATCAGGACGCCTTCAACGACGAGCTGGAGTCCTTTAAGGAGCGAGTGCGCGGACGAGCCAAGATCCGCATCGAGAAAGCCTTGAAGGAGTACGAGGAGGAGGAGCGGCAGAAGCGCATGGGTCCCGGCGGCCTGGATCCGGTGGAGGTGTACGAGTCGCTGCCTGCGGTGAGACACACACCACACAGCTACTGTACTCATGAGGACCAGATCTAACGGCTTGTTTAATGGGAGTAAATAAAGAAGGACATCAGCAGTCGGCAGAATGAACACTAGTTAGTGCTCACTGGAATCACAGAGACTCAGAGCAGGTGAAGTGTGGATGATTGTGAACATGCTGATGCTTCGTCCCGCAGGAGATGCAGAAGTGCTTCGACGATAAAGACATTCAGATGCTGCAGGACGCCATCAGCAGGATGGACCCGACGGTCAGTGTGCGCCGCGTGACGCCAGGCTCGGAGTGTGTTGATGCTAGTCTGATGACCTTCCTCTCTTGCAGGAGGCCAAACACCACATGAAGCGCTGCATCGAGTCGGGACTGTGGGTCCCGAACGCACGAGCGGACGAAGAGGGAGAGAAAGATAAAGAGGAAGGCGATGAGCCGCAGTATGAGGAAGTGAAGAAAGAAGAGCAGTGACCCCAGACCCCGCCGGACCCCAGAGCCATCTGATGAGATCAGTGCTGAAGCAGATCCTGAGCACGTCTCTCTCTTCTCTCATCATCACCGTTTGTTATTCATGCAGTCTTCTGTAGACGCTCTCCCAGCGCTTACGCTCCTCTAAAGCCAGATTGTGTGTTTTGGGTTTGATTAGCCGTTACTCACAGGTGAATGAAGATCTGCAGTATTATAGATAGAGGAGACAGTCCAGATGAATACTAATAATGAACTGATTTATTTGTTGGATGCTGGTCTCTTTTTGTTCATATGATTCACACTGCTCTGTTAGTGCTGTATGTTCAGTTTGTATCAGAATAAAGCTGTGGGCTGATGGGAAATCTGTGTCTGATTATAGCACGTTTATCTGTGCGTAAAGCTGCAGCAATGATGCCATTATCACAGTAATGACAAGATTATGGTGGAAACTAGTCTGCTTTTAAAATCTGGTCTCAGAATGAACCAAACAAACGCTCAAGTGAGGAAGGTCTCGTTGCTGCTGGAATAGAAATAACAGTGTTGTTAGTTATTGATGAGGTGGTTTCATTTCAAAGAAAACAAAAATCAAGAACATTTTTCAGTATTTATAATTACTTAAAATTGATTAATTATATATATATATATATATATATATATATACACACACACACACACACAAAGGTCATGATTAATCCATTTCCAGACAGGTTTTGTTTATTTTTGGTCTTACCCTGAGTCACAACGGTACAGCGGTCGGGACGGATTTCGCGGGAAATTGCGTACATACGTCATTCAACGTGCGTGTCTCGTGTCCGTAAAAAAGAAGCTGAAAATTAGTTGTCAAACTTGTCATAAGGAGCGAGAAATAGTGACCATGAACGATGGTAAATCAGAAACTCAAACAGAGCAAATTAAGTCCGTAATTAACCCCGAATCAGCGCCGGCTCTTTAGAGAGAACTCCGAGAATTGAAAGGATTTAAAGCGGATCCACAGATGTTACTTCATCACTCGCAGGTAAGAGCATTTATTTAACGATATGTAGCTCTCGAAGCCTCTTTTCATTACGGCTTTTTGTAATGCTGTGTTGGTTTTATTTTCAAGGATAGACTTAATTAGAAAGCTAATGGGTCGCCAAATTAACGTCTTCAGCTGTCAATTTGCGACCCTTTCCATCTAAACTACTACATCTTTTGAGATGTTTTAGTGGCGTTTCACCGCGATTAAAAAAAAAAAAAGGTTTCTAATTGCTCAAAACATAAGACATGGTTTTTAGATTTTCAGGTGTAAATTCACTAAGAACCACATGCGTCCGCGCAGAGCCTCAACAATGTTCTTCCGCAAGATGCATGTAGTTTTATTTAACAGTCCCATAGCTTTCAGAATATCGTGATTAAATGTGTGCTTCTGTCTCACACAGATGTTTGTGGTGTGATTCACATACTGTGCCTGCATAAGGATATTTCCCTTCTATATAATGTGCAGAGAGCAATCAGTCATGCAGGTGCCAAGAATGTTCATCCTCGTGGAGAAAAGAACTCGAACACACCAGGCATTGCAGTGTTTGCTGTCAGTGTGTCACGGGAAATGGCAGCATGGTGTATATAATACGCATGAGGTGAATCTCAAAAAAGAGGAATCTGGACAGAGTTATATAGATGTTATATATATCGATGAGGTTTTTGAGCTCATGGAGCTGCTCAGTCTGATGGACAAGACTGCATTCTCACTTAACCGCACCAATGACAGCAGCTGATGACAAGATTGTCTTTCAGAGTTGCTTTACAGGAGAATCTGAACCGTTTCCATCACTGATTCTGTTATTCTCCACGTTGATCTCTGTGAAGCAGCTTTACACAACCTGGACTGTATAAAGTGCAATAGAAATAAATATGACTCGACTTTGAAATAAAAATGTCATACATAAGCAAGCAGACTTTAATATTTCAGTTTAATGAAGTATTACAGATACATAGAGTACATTTCTTATTATGGGATGTCTTTTCTTTAAGAGTTGAACATGTTTCTTTTAAAGCATTAGGTGACCATAAGAAGAGCCTCAACAAAGACGGAAAGCATTTGTCGTCTCGCTCCTTTATAACTGCAGATGTTCTGATTAAAACACGAACCACAGATCAGTATTTACATCCCCTTAATTCAACAGATCAAGTCGCCGTGTGTTTGTTCAGTCAGTGTTCCAGAGCTTTCTGAAGACGAACACACACCTCCTGTTCTCCCAGAGAAAGCATCATCTCCGCCACACTGGGACCGTGCTGCAGACGCACAGAACAGACCGATAGTGAGAGAGTGAGTGTGTGTGTGTGTGAGTGAGTGAGAGTGTGTGTGAGTGAGTGAGAGAGTGTGTGTGTGTGAGTGAGTGTGTGTGTGTGTGTGTGTGAGTGAGTGAGTGTATGTGAGAGTGAGTGAGAGTGTGTGTATGTGTGTGTGAGTGTGAGTGAGTGAGTGAGTGAGTGAGTGAGTGAGTGAGTGAGTGAGTGAGTGAGTGAGTGAGTGAGTGAGTGAGTGAGTGAGTGAGTGAGTGAGTGAGTGAGTGAGTGAGTGAGTGAGTGAGTGAGTGAGTGAGTGAGTGAGTGAGTGAGTGAGTGAGTGTGTGTGTGTGTCACCTGTTGCGCGCTCAGAGCGAGTCTCAGCACTCTCATCGCTCCGCTGTATTTGGTGTGCTTCAGTCTGCTGGCGATGAATCTGAGCTCAGTGTTCAGATGCTCTGTGGACTCGAACGAGCCGCCGGACGCCACCAGCCTAACCACAAACACACAGACGCGTCACGACACGCACGAACACACCAGTAACGTGTGTGTGTGAGACTCACTGTATGACTGCTGCTGCGATGTCATCCACCTCTGCGCTCACTTCCTGCAGCTGCTGCCGCGTGACTCGCGGCCGGATCCACAGGTATGTATGCGTGTCATTGAGTAGCTCTCGCAGAGAGCAGACGTGACCCTGAAACACACACACACACACGTTCATTCAGTGACAGAAGAGCTCAATCAGATACTCGCTCAAACACACAAAGCTTAGCGATGTGGAAGTGCATTAGCATGGTTCAAATCGTACTTATCTGACTGCCATCAATTCGTAGCAGTGAATGAAGAGGTATCATATCGATCACAAGTGCAGTATGGAGTACCTCAAGGCTCAGTACTAGGGCCGTTACTCTTCACGCTTTACATGTTACCCTTGGGAGATATCATCAGGAAACACGGTGTTAGCTTTCACTGTTATACTGATGATACTCAGCTCTATATTTCTTCACAGCCCGGCGAAACATACCAATTTGAAAAAACTAGCGGAATGCATAGTCGATATAAAAAACTGGATGACGAGTAATTTCTTACTGCTAAATTCTGAAAAAAAAAACAGAGGTGTTAATTATTGGACCTAAAAATGGATGAAATGTTTAGACCTCTACTGATGATTAAATCTAGAGTATTTCCACGATTGTGTGTGGGTTCATGCACATGCTGAATCAGGTCAGAAGTGTTTAAAACAGTTAAAATTTATTTTTGTAATTTTGTAATTTATAATTTCTTTCTTTTTGCAGGCGACAGATCCTTCTCCTATTTAGCGCCCAAACTCTGGAATAACCTACCTAACATTTTTTGGGAGGCAGACACACTCTCTGCACAGTCCTCTGCACAATCTGACTTTGCTGCAGCCTAGAATTAAACTGCTAGTTTCGTTAGGCCAGAGGAGAACAGAACACTATTTCAACACACTATTTCTCTGTGTAATACTGTAAAGCTGCTTTGACACAATTTGCATTGTAAAAAGCACTATATAAATAACGAAACTAACAAAACAAAAACAAAGCGTGAGTGATGGCGTTGGCTCAGTTTGCTCTGCTACCTTGCGCAGCTGCAGGACTCGCTGCATGTAGTGCGGCTCCAGGACGGTGCGGTCGCTGATCCGAGAGCCGTGTGTGTGAAGAACCTGCTGACGCAGCTCATCCCGCAGCACAGCGCACCTCTCCTCATCCTCGATCCTGTGCTGCAGATGAACCCTACACACACACACAGCGCTGAAACACTCAATCCCAGTATCTCTGCTGCGATGTGATCAGCTGGCCTTTGTTAGGCCATATAAGACGTACACTTATCTTACAGTGCAGTACAGATAGTACACTGGGACTCTGTTCATCTGCATGTGTGACAGCTTTAACTAAAGAACAAACCTGCTGAACTCGTCTAGTTTGTCCAGATCCAGCAGAGCCGAGTGCGTCGTGATCTTGGAAATGTTAAACTCGCAAACTAATTCATCCAAACGCCGACCGATCCGATTATCTGCAGAAAAGAAAAAAACTGAAATGAACAACATTAACAAATTATTTTAAGTGTATGATGAATGTTTACTTTCACCAAACCCAATCGTATGCTTTGAGAACTTGAGATTATTCTATGATATGTGTGCATCTTTTTGAAAGCTTGAAGCTGGTCATCATTCACAGTCTTTATATGGATGAGCGCATGCAGGACATCTTAATTAATGGGGGGGGGGG